CAATGTGGGGATTTAGCTATAGCTAGAACTAGGAAGACTCTTGTTAACATAGTTTTGGTTTAGGGTTTTGGTTTGAGAAAAGTACTAGTCAGTTCATATCGAAAAAATTAAAAGAAAAAAAAGATCACAAAATAATGTTATTTTAATAAATTTTTATAGAAAAAAATTAAAATAATATATTTTTAAAGTAAAAATGAGAATATTTGTCCTTTTTTATTAACAATATATTTAGTAATAAACATGAATAATAATGTGATACTTTATTGACCAGAATATTTTGGTCTTTTTACGTGATACTTTATTGAAATAATGTTATTTTGAAGTTTTTCTTCTCTCTTTCTTTTTTAGAGACCCAACTAATAAACATCAATCTCTTTTATTTTTTATTTTTTATATATTTAGTAACTCATATTATATTTAAATTTAATTCAATAAATTCAAATTTTTATACTAAATTTTAATTTTTAAATATAATAATAGTTACTAAATATATAAAAAATAAAACCTCAAAACCTAGCTAAAACGAAAATCATAATAGCCAGAATGGAAATTATGTGATGAAATGGTATAATTTCGGAAGTCACTTTTTGGCACGACACTTTGGAAACAAGTTAAACAATAATACTATTTTTCTGTTATCTTGTCACTAGGCAAAACTTAACACTTCTATTTGCCTCTGCCTTCACTTACACTTCTATTTATTCGCATTTAAGGAAAAATATATATACTCATCGCACGTTTTTGGAGCATTGTTTAGAGTTCCCTTGGTTTAGAAATCAACTTAAGCAGGTTCGATTTTCTGGCTTTTCTCTTCTCTCTTTACTCCATCTCATTTCCTTCTTATCATAGAAATTTGATAGCTATTGGAGGCAAGTAAGTTGATAAAAATTCAATAATAATAATAATAATAATACTAAATCTCTCAAACCAATCATTTTTTACCTAAAACATTTTAATAACCAAATATTAAATTTAAGATCAAACTAGCATTCATCAATTTTTGGTTTAC